AATTGCCATGTTGAGTGAGCATTGCCTCTTTAAAAACACAAGGATATAGGACAATAAGTTGGATTGATTAAGGCAAACTAAGCAGTAGGCAAATGTCTTGGGTGCTGGGGTATCTGTTCCTGTTTCACACGGACCTGAATTGTACAGGGATTTCCATGGTAATTTCCTCTTTGGTCTCTGGCTCAGGCGGACGTTCGAGGCTGTGTCTCCAATGTGGTGAAGACTAAAATATTCCAGCTCAAGCGAAAGGATTATGAGATGAAAATTGAGGTTGAAGGCAAGATCACGGAAGAGGGTACAGGTATGCATCATGCTGACCTGCTGGAGCTGTGGGGCCACACTGCAATAGCAGTGGGTGTTGCAAGCCAGCACTGAAGGGCACTGGCAGAACTGGACAATGTGGGGCAGGATTGGAGCATCTGGAGGTGCTGCAGGTCAGTGCATTAGTTCAAGCCCCTCTTTGCCGTGTTTTCTTTCAGGAGTGGAGTTAACTGGGACAGGCTCCAGTGAGATCACAGACACCATGAGCAAAATCAGCTTTGAGCAGGTGGACTCTCATTACATACCAGGGATCCCCTTCTCCGGGCAGGTAGGGAACCTCTGAGAGCCCAGGAAATTACCTGACAGGAGTGTGCTTGTCTGTGGAGAATGAGAACTTGCAAATGGAAAAGGGAAAACGTGGGAGGATCACCAACCATGGGAAGAGGAGCCATCTCCCTCTGCCTCTACACATGCTACGGTATCCTTGCCATTAGTGGGAATTGCAGTGCCTTCCTCTGACCCCCTGGTGCTGTCAGAGACAAGATACAGAGGAGAAGGCCCATTGGTGTGGCCAGCACAGTCCTTCCCATGTTCCCAATCACACACTCTGTGAGGACGTGCCACCTCTTCAGGTGGTTCAGACTCACCCAGCACGTTCACACACACCTGACCCTTGGCCAGCTCTGTAGGAAACACCCTCTGGAGCTGCCTCAGGGGAATAATGTGGGCAAAGGGTCATTAGGACTGTGGGGACTGCTTTCCCTGAGTAGTAAAAGCAACGGAGATTGGATTTGTTCCTTTAGGTGAAGCTGGTGGATGGGACCGATGCTCCAATTGCCAACGAAACCATCCGGATTTCCGTAGGGAGAAACAACTACGAAGCCAATTACACAACGAATGAAGAGGGCCGAGTCTCGTTTTCTATAGACACTGTCAACTTCACAGAAAACTCGATTCAAATCACTGTGAGTGGCTGAATCCAGGGAGCTAGGGGATGGGAGGTGTCACTGACTAAGCTCCAGGGCAGATGTCCGTGGGTTTATTGATCTCTCTGCCCATGGGGAGATAAAACAAAGAGTTTGTTGGCTGGGAATTTCAGTCTCCTCCTCTCTGTCTTGCTCTATCTCTGTCTGACTCTCTCTCTGTCTGTCCCTTGCTCTCTGTGTCTTGCACACACTCTGTCGCTCTCCCTCTGGTTCTCCATCTCTCTCTCTCTCTCCACATGAGCATGGAAAATGCAGATCAATGCACTGTGCACTGAAAAATCTGCCAAGAACATGTTTTTAAAATTACCCACTTTTTCCTTCTGAAATGTTAGTAGACTTGTTGCTCACTTTTTGATCTCATGTAAAAACGTTCTTCTTTATCAGGCAAACCATAAATCTGAACTGAACTGTTACGACAGAGACTGGATCACCCCTGTGTATAGTAACGCCGTTCACACAGCAACACGCTTTTACTCCCCGAGTCAGAGCTTTCTCAAAATCGAGCCCCTGTCTCAGACTTTAAGCTGCGGCTCCAATGAGATGGTCCGGGTGCACTACATCCTGAAGCCAGAGGCCGTGGGGGAGCAGAAGGAAATCGTCTTTTACTATGTGGTAAGCCCAGACCTAGTGACCTCTACCTCCATACACATGATACAGCACTGGAGGCCAGACACCCATATATGTCCCAGGTCACCAAAGTGCCCCGAGGCCAGGTTCACTTGACCTTGATATTTACATGTAAAAGCCAGTGAAGGAAATGCAGAACTGGCCAGCCAGTGGATGGTTTCTGCAGGGAGAGAGAATTTCTGACTTGATCGAGGTCCCGGTAAACTCCAGTCTGGGTCTGGGACTCTGTATGGCACTGCGGGATTTTCTGCTCCTTCCCCACAGGAAGGCATCGGTATAGACACCCCCCACCCCCAGCATTCCCCCGTGAGCATCTCCCACCTCCCACCAGGACCCCTGTAACATGAGGGTTTCTTCTTCCTGGCAGGTGATGGCCAAGGGAGGCATAGTGAGGGCAGGCACCGAGGTGCATCCCGTGGGGGATGGAGAACGTGAGTAGAGCTGTGTGAATAACTGATTTCCTGGTTCCCTGACCGAACCAGAAACCTCAAAAAACAATTGTTTGGGAGCAACTGAACCATTTCACTTTTGAGCTGCTTTAATCTTTTTAAAATAGAGTTGAAGGGAAATTGTAAATGAGGAGTTGTTTTGAATTGAAAAATGGAACCTTCCATTTAGGAAATGTCGAAACAAAACCTTCTGATTTGTTGCCGATTTTTTCCTGACCAAAACCATTTGGTGAATTTCACACAAATTTGTGAAATGTTTTGGTTGATCCGAGTCTGCGTTTTTGACAACAAAAAATCATCCAAAAAATTTCAGCTCATTCTCCTTGTGAGTTCTCCTCACCCCTTTCTCTGTCTGTCCTGGGAGGCTGAGCTGTTGTGTCTGAAGGAGGTGCCGAGAACAGCGCCCTTCTCTCTTAATTTTCTCTCTTTCCTTCTTGTCTCACTAGTCATGGTCTCTCTCTCCCTTTGACACACACACAGTTCCCCTGACCGATTTCATTTCATTAATGGCAGTCTCAAGGGATTCCCAGTTTGACTGATTCAGGCTGGCTGGACAAATTCCACCTTGAGGAGCAGGAGTGTGGAATCCCACCCCCTCTGCAGCCCTGTGCGCACAACCCTCCGCACAGAGCCCCTGTACATGCACTTCTTTCCTCACCTTCATTATTGCATGGGCAGGGGGGATCCTGCACTGATGGAGGACAGTGCTAGACTCTAGCTGATATGGATTTAGGGGACATGCTGAGATCCACCAAACCCATCTCACCTGAATATCCCACACCGGGTGTTTGCACTAAGAGTCCAAGGCCTCAAGTATGCGCCAAAACTCTTACCCTTGGATAGCGAATTTTTCAGGGTGGCTGATGTTGCAGCCATAATAAGGGAGCCTAGGGAAATGTGTGGCCCTGGAGCTGATTCTCTATAGCTTAGCTCCCGCCCCCTGTCTCTGTTTGCCAGATATCCAGGTATTTGAGCTGAGCCTGCCCGTGCGGCCTGATATCGCCCCCCTGGCCCGGGTACTCGTATACACCACTTTACCAAGCGGGGACGTTATCGCCAATTCCGAAGATTTCAAGATTGAAAACTGCTTTGCCAATAAGGTGAGCATCCGGTTTCTATAACTCGCATTCACCCCATGGACAATGGCCCACCTGTGGAACCTGGAATTGCAAATTTCAAGGAAGACTCAGGAAATGTTCAATGGCTCCATGAGCCCATCAGGCACTGACCATGGATCAGTAATTGAATATGAGAGATGAATGCACATCAGGAGTAATTTGCATAAGCAGAATTATGGAGGCACAATTGACATATGGGGGCGCTGCTGGTCATGTTTGAATTGCATTGGTCAGGGATGAGGGGCATTGGCAGGGCTGTGTGGGGAGCCCAGGACTGGAATAGCGGGGGCTGCAGGGCAGAGTTCAGGGGCATTGGCAGAGCTGTGAGGCGGTTCCAGGACTGGGCTGTGCTGCGAGGCAGAGTGTAAAGGTACCTGGAGAAGTAGCTCCTCTAACTCCTTTCCTGGGGTTGCAGGTCGACTTGCATTTCTCACCGGCCGAGGGCCTCCCCGCCTCTGACACTCACCTCCGGATCGGAGCCTCCCCGGGCTCCCTGTGTGCCATCCGTGCTGCGGACAAGAGCGTCTTCCTCATGAAGCCTGAAGCAGAGCTCTCGCCCAGCTCTGTAAGTGCCACAAGAGCTGGTCTTGTCTGGAAAGTGCCGAGAATCACTCGTGAGAGCTAGGGCAGAGCAGTCTGTCTGTTATTGTAGGGTCCCTCATCAGCACAGGGGCTGCGCCCACTGCTTGATCTATGTAGGGCCCTCATGAAAACTATGGCTGGAAACAGCGGTGTTTATATCTGGCGACACATGTGAGGTA